TATGTGCCGTGGCGGCATGTTATGGAAGAAACTAAATTACCTGTACAAAAATATGGTAAGGTACCCAGTTCGTATACTACCCCCTTGAAAGATAGGAATATTATGTTACAGAAGGCAGATCAATCGTGGAATCTTCAGCAATATGGTAATACAACTGGTTTACATATCACTCCCTCAAAAGACAAAAACATAATGTTGCAGAAGGCAGATCAATCGTGGAATCTCCAGCAAGATGCTAATACAACTGGTTTACATACTACTCCCTCAAAAAATAGAAACATAATGTTACAGAAGTCAGATCAATCGTGGGGTCTTCAGCAGGACGTTAATGAGACTAGGCATATTCCATTCGATATGTATATGGTACTTGCCACTAAGGGAATGGTTCAAACTGAGACTGGATTTGGTCAAAATAAAAATTCTCGATTAACTAAACCGGGAGGAGCTTCACTTATGCCTGCTATGCATTCTAGAGAACAAAAGTGGAATCAACAATTAGTTTTGCCATCTGGTTTTGAAAAATCTATTTCTAAAAATAATAGAGAACTTATCCCTTCTTCAGATCCTTATCCAATAAGCGAAATACAATGTGAAGAGCAACAAAGACACCTATCATTACAAGGCCTAACTTCTCATGCTGAAATATTCCGGAGACCAATAGTAGTATATTTCTGAGAGAGTTGAGACAAAAATCGGTACCTCAATATGTATAGCATTTTTTTTTTTTCATCACATAGTAAGCTTTTCTCTTATATCAATTTTTATATCATTTTGCTTAATTTTTTTCTCGCCACACTCGAATGAGGTGTGATTTTTTTTTTTGGCCACATCTTCATATTACTACTCCGTTTGCTATAAAAAAAGGACCAGAAAGCTAAAGGACGAATGTCCTGAAGCTGAGTGTGACGTGCATCAGCAAGCCTAAATTTAATATTATTTTCTTTACTATTCTAATTTTCTTCTAAACTTTATTTTGTCTTCTGTTACTGTGAAGCATGAACCCCAAAGGGTAAATGTGAAACAGCTTTGGAGCGAAGCGAAGCATAGTTAACATATTAGCTTTCAAAATTATTATCAATATAAAATAGCTATATAAAAAAAAGACATCAAATTTTTATTGATATAAATAAATCTAACCTCTAATAAAAGATTTTTAGTTATTTTGCGGTTCTTTTAGAATAACTAATTTTTACTATCTCTATTAACGCCTAAATCAATTATTATCATCATGAAGAATATCAAAAAAAATATATATCGAAAAAAAGTTGGAACAAAATCTAACCTCAATATATCAAAAAAAAGTTGGGACAAAGTCTAACTACATATCTAGAATTGATTATTTTATATCCTGGATTCTATCCCAATATACTTTATATATAAAGTCTAATCTCAATATAATGGATATATATCGAAAAAAAAGTTGAGACAAAGTCTATCTTCATAGCTAGAATCGATTATTTTATATCCTGGATTCTATTCCATTATACTTTATACATACATATATATCGAAAAAAAATTGGGACAAAGTCTAACCTCAATATATATCAAAAAAAAGTTGGGACAAAGTCTATCCTCATAGCTAGAATCTAATTTTGAAGCCCTACCATGTAATCTACTATAGCACTGGACTTGATTGACAGCTATTACAATATTTTCCCTCTTCTATTTTTATCGGAATTAAGCATTCTTTACAAAGAGTAATATTAAGAGATGTAAGAGTGACTCCATGAACAACCATTATTTCATCATAAGTTTTTTCTTGAATATTTGCAAGCATCTTTTTAATGGTATTAATTATTTCCTCATAAGGTTTTTCTCGTGAATTTGATCGAAGCCTATCATAGTATTGAGCAACATAATAACCTCTGATATGATCTGGACATCGACCACTAGTAGAACTAGTAGGTTTAGAACAATCAGTACAAGGTACTCTTCTTTTAGCTTTCCAATGATAACTACACCCCTCAGAGCGCATACAGGTTCTTCCACAAACTTCACCAGAATTATGATAGAATGGACAAGTATATTTTCCGATCATTTTTTTTATATATATTAAAATTTTTATTTAAAGAAAAGATTTTATAAAGTATTATATACAAAACTTTAGATAATCAAAACGTAACACATATTCAAATGTCAACTACTATTCAAACTACCAATCAAATATCCACCGAGAGTGAAACCTGTCTCCCAACATGCCAAGATATCGAAAAATCAATAATCGATGTATTAAGAGCAGGTAACTTTTATAACAAAGATAGAAATATAGGTTTCATGGCTTATTATAAAAACCACCTTGACGAATTGCGCAAATCAGAAGATCAAGAGCAATATATTATAATTAAAGCCAAACAACTTCTTCCTAATGAAGAAATATATGATACAAAAATAAAAGCATTTTTCAATTCTTATTACAAAAGTGAGCCGAAAATTAAACAAACTATTTTAAACTATCTCAAATTAATCTATAAAATCGCTAAAGAGTATTTTATTACAGATGAAGAAAGAGAAGAAGAACTCCAAGCATGGCTTAACTCTTAAGTAGGTTCGAAAAACCATGATCCTTGAATCGCCCTTCGGGCTTGCTCTGCAATACCCATTGAGGAGGTAATTCAGTATTATGTGAAATAACTAATAATTGTTCACGGACAAAAGATCTTTCAGGACTATATTCATTATCATCTATAATCCAATAAAGGATCAGTTGATTTTTTTGTACTAATCTTTCTTTAATGCAATAAATTTGAGGAGACCAATTCATGTCAGTAACATGTCTTCTTCCACCTTCTAACTCGCCTGGCTTAAGTAAATACCTTACAGAAACATGAAAAGGTAATTTTTCTTCATCAAATCCCATAGGACCTTTTCTAGGTTTAGAAGCTAACCTATAAACATGTTTCTTTTTTCGAGCTTCAGCGGGGGACATCCCAATCATGCGGTTAACAGAATTATCATATTGTTTAAGAAAAATAGGAGCATTATCAATCCAGTCTCGACAACGTTCACCAGGAGGTAATCTCATTTCAACAGCATCTTGAATGAGATAAATATATTCCTCAAAAGATCGATTAAATCTTTTAACAATACCCATACTTTCTTTATTTCTAGCAATATAAATTTTTACATTATACTTATTAGCTAAGAAAATAACTTCACCACGAAATTCTGTACCTTTATCCACCATAAATATTTTAGGGCAGTAACGAGACTTAAAAAGCTTTTCTAATACTTTTGCAACACTAGCAGAATCTCGAGATATTAAAGGATATATAAATCCAGTACAAGTAGCAATATCAATACAATTAAGGGCATATTTATAAATTTGATTTTTAACTTGATGATGAGACATATAACAAGTGTCACCTTGAATAATATGAAATAGAACAGTAATATTACTGAAACTAACGCAAGGAATAAATCGAGATTTAGGACGAGGAATATGAATTTGATGTAAAGCTTGTCTTTCAAGCCATTCTTGAACTTCGGCCAATGTAAAATCGAACTCGGCATTATGTGAAACATCATAAAGTTTTTTACTAGTCCTTTAATAGCCAGAAGGATGATAATAGATTTTTTGTAAATCGATAGATATATCAAATTTTCAAAATTCTAAAGGATCTATAACAATACTAGGATTACTTATTTTATTTATAGTATAGAAAATCATAACGATATCATCAAGGATTAAGCAATTCGAAAATAGTTTATCAGCAATAAAATCAGTTTTAGAAGTTGCAACAAGATTTAATTTTAAAAGAGGATTACATCAAATATCTTGAAAAGGAGATATTGATTCGTGATGATGAACTAGTCCCATTGTATTAACAAATATCTGATATTAAAAATTGGTTAGAAAAGGCAATCCAGACCTCTGTAAGTCAAGAGAAATATATAGATCATCTGAAAAAGCTGTTAGTAATTTTTCAGAAAAATCTTGATGCACTTGATGAAAAAATCGAAATTATTTCTTCGAGAAGAAGCTCACTGGATCCATATATCCAGACTTTAGAAGAACAAGATATTAATATAGCAAATATAGATGTGGTAAATATAGATCTTTTTATACTTATTAATCAAGGCTTAGATCGACTCAAAAATCATCTTAGAGGAGTCGGTACACCACTGAATAATCCTATCAGAATTATCGAAGGGGTCTGTAACTCTTTAAATACTGTTCGACATAATTATCAGACTGCATACCAGAATATTGATGGTGTCATCATCAAATGAGATGATCGAGACAATCAAATAGTGCGGTTACAACAAGATGTTAATAGATATAGACAACTTGATACACTTCAGCAAAATCATATTAA